TGTTTTGTCTTTAACCACACACCGAGCTGTGAAAGTAGTGAAAGACGTTAAAAAACTGTCTTTGCATCTTTCAGCGACTTTATTTCAAACGCCAAAGAGAGGAGCCTTTGATTAGCAGAGGAAAACGTCGAAGGAAATCTCACAGGAAATCTCAGGAATCAACTCAACAGTCCTACCTCTGTGAAACGCATCAGGACAAAATGGTGTCCGGTCACACGGAAACAATGGAAAGAAGTGAACTCTGAGGTGAAAGAGCTCCCATAAGTGGTAACACATCAAATTTTAGCGTCTGTGTTCTATTTTCGTTTTATTACCTTCCTGCAAATATTCACAACTACGGATGGAGGTAGCGCTTTGAAGGGAGCGAAATGGTGTTTTTAATAGAGATTTCCTGTTTACTTCCCAGCAAGCTTTGTCATTTCCAGGAAACAATTTGAGCTTTGTTCTCACCTCATGCTAATTTGAAAATCAAATATTCTAAAAAAAAAATAAATAAATAAAATAAAAAAAAATCAAATGAGCATAAAATGTTGGGAAAGTCTTTGAATGAAAGGCATTTTAGCTGCTTTTGCTATTCCTTCTCATTGTTAGTGCATAACAGTTTAAAATCCAATCAGCAGCTGTCTAAAGGTCTACCTGTTTAGTTTCTGCCACAGGAAATGTTGGACAAAACGTTTTTCAGTCCTGTCTTTATTCCTGAAGGAAGACTTTCTGTGTTTTCCATTCTGAAGTGTGGAATATTTCACTAAAACATCCTCCATCCCAGCTGTGGTTTGAACTCTGTGAACTAATACCCAAGGCTGACTCAAACGACGACGCGCCAATATTTCCAAACATCCAAAGATGGGGCAGAGGGACTGGAACACACTGACAACACGTGACCTCTGCATAGAGGGACCGACGTATTCTGCAAAACAGGTGGACCAGTCTCAATGTGAACTTCACCCCTGGATGAACCATAGCCTTCTTTTCTCATTTTTCCCTCTTCCTATTCCCTTTGAGAGTAAGCTAGTTCAGTCTTTCACAGTTAAACAAAATATGAGAATGTCTTGCAGTGTTTAGTGCTTGAATTAGTTGTTTTTGCAAAAACATTTTGATTTCTGATCAGTTGAAAGTAGATTGTGTTTGACACCGGTTGTTTTTGTTAGTCCATTTTGCTGTCAATGTTTCTCCTGAGTAAATACCTGTAAATATAGCTTAGTTTAATTATTAATGAACTTATATGTTGATCTGAGATCTTCTGGTAATTTTTACCTTTGGTTCTAGGTGATGTGTTCCTTTTTTTGTGACAGAAAACCTAAAGTAAGAAATGGACTAACTCCTGAACTTTCTATATAATAATTAATTATTCAATGGGAAAGAAAAAGGTTTCAGTCTGATAAGTGTCATTTGGTGTTCATCTGTCTGCATTTTGATTATATTCTTGTTTGTTTATTTCAGCTGAGATGTTGTCTTTGTATTTCATTCATTCATATTGAATCTCATTGTGTGTTCTTACTTTGCCAGTGTTTTTCCTTCGGTTATAGTTTATACTTCCTCCTCACCTTCCTCCATGCTTATTAGTCTCCTTCCCTCAGCCTGCCTGTTTGCTCTCTGCTCTTCCTTCACACCTACAGCCAGTTCCAATCAGCCATCTGTTTCTCTTCTAGTAACCAAGGCTCCCAGTATTTAAACCCCTCTCCTTCAGTCATTCTCTGATGGAGCCTACTTTTGCATATCTTAGTTGTTCCTTGTGACTCCTCTGTGCTCGTTTCCTCTCTTGGTATTTTGTAAGTCTTCTCATTTTGATTTTTATTAAACATTCTTTAGTACAAAGAAGATATCTGTACCTGGGTGCTTTGCTAATCTCAACATAAAAGATTAGAAGATTGCTTAGTGAACTATGAGGCAGATATTACCTATTAATTTATAGGTCACGTGGTAAAATACAGCTAATCTAAACCTCATTTCTTCTTTCAAACATTCTTCTCAGTATAACTCCACATGTTGTTGTGTGCGCCTATTAATTTCATAATTTTTTTTGTTGCCCAAGTTTCCATTTTATCAATATAAAACAGAAAGTTGAAGATGTTTTTGTAAACTATGTTTATTTTATGTCCTGCAGTATCTGCATTTCTTATTTGCGCATTTAGGTCCCTGCAATTCAAATCATGTCACATGTCAGTCTCTCAGATTTCATTTCTTTTCCATTGGGAAAGCTATCAGTGACAGCAGATCAGCCCCGCTCTAGTAGACTTACAAAATGATCTCAAAAATGAAGGGAAGTTTTTGACACATTAATGTAGTCCAATTTAGTTTGCAGGTCGATGCGGCTACATGAAAATACTTACGAGAAGCTCACTTCACCCGTCTCCAGTCTCATGTCGAAGAAGCTACAGTCCATTTGTGAAAGAAAAAAAAAATGCTTCAAGACTGACATAGCCTTAAAGCATTTATCTGGACCTACTCACACATAAATTCCCACTCAGATGTACGGGACAACTGATCAAACAAAGCAGAGAGCAAACACGGGGAGATTAAGTAGCTTAAACAAAAGTGCAAACAGTAATTAATCAGCCTAAGTGTTAACACCGAGTCCAATTTATTCATGACCACTCAGCTGAGAAGACATGACCGAATGGAAGATCTATCATATTAAACCCTGACTCTAAAACCAGCATAAAACTCTTGATTGAACAGTTCTTGACTGCAATTTTTTATTTATTTTTTTAACAATAATACTTCTTGATGGTCATGGTTCAACCCTGCAGGTTACCTTTTGTGAATGAATGGGACTGTTTTCACTAGTTTGCTCAAGGCAGCAACATAGCAACCAAACCTTTCCCAGGGGTCGCAGAGTGACAAATAACCATGCTGAAAATAGCTCCCCGAACATTTATAATTAATCCTGGAGACTGGGGAGCAGAACTGTTTCTTATAAATGATGCTTTGTCACTTTAAAGACCTTCACCAACGTGCGTGCGTGACAGTGGTTAAGCCTGTCACGGCAGAAACACCTTTCTAAATATTAAATCTGGCATCACTGGGGATTCCCATGCATTTATTTATATCAACTTGGCCAGAATCAAAGAGAAGAGCATCTGTAGTCATGGTAACAGAGTCGTCTACAGTGTCACCTTATCACATTGACTCCACTTTGAGTCTGCTTGACATCGTTGGATCATCCCTGCCTTCCCATCACAAGGCCCCCCCGTTTGCCATTTATGAAACATTTGGTAATGTAGTTTCAAAATGTTGGATCACAGCAGATTATACCTAAGCTATATTTTATATGAAAATCAATACAAGTACAATGTGCAAGTGTCAGAACTGATTTTGCAATGTTAAATATTTACATTTAATTGCAGGTTTCAGCCAAAAAAGCACACAACTGATGCAGATATTTATCATACAGTCTTATCCACTGAATTTGGTGGTGAATTCTTTGGGAACTCTTCAAAAAAGGAAGAAATGTCTAAAAAAAAATTGAAACAGAGTAGTGAGACGAAGAGTGGTGTCTTTGAATCACAAGGTCTGCATAACGATCGTTACACACAATGTTCATGCTGAGCCGTTTTTGAGGACGGAGGCCATGAAAAGGTTTCTCTGTCCTGCTATCACAAGCACAAAAAATGTGAAGGTTGTTCAACTCCAGTGGGACTTTAACTGGAATCAAGAGATTAGCCAGGATGAGACTATCAGGAAAAAACTCCAGGTAAGGTCTGGTGAATGAAGGATGAATATAGAAAAGGAACCAGGCTCATAAGGATGGTAGAGGACCTGTAATGCTGTGGGTCTGCAATGTAATACTACAGATTTTAAATAAAACCTGTCAGACATTAAATCTTTCAACAGATTAACGATCCAAAATATACGACAATGGCGTAAAAGTGGTTGATCAGACACAAAATAATAACTTCCAATTGCTGTCTCAATTTTTACAGTTAAAGCCTATGGAAAAATAGTGTTTCATAACATCATCATACTCTGTCTCTCTCTACAAATTTCTAAAATCAAAGTTGTATTATCATATTTTTTTTTGTTTGTGGGTGAGAGATTATGCTAATTTAACAAAAGTAGAATTTATTTAAAGACTTTCCACACAGTTCTAGCTCTAAACCAGTGAGGCGGAGGCTGTTTAACTTCAGTAAACATAAAGCAGATTGGTTCCGATTAGAGGGAACAGATGGCTGAAGTCAGTGGGTAGTTTTGCATAATACTGATTCACTTGATGCGCTGTTTTTGGATTTTTTTCATTAAAAAAAAAAGAAACTGATTTATCTCAAAATAAATCTTCACCCTACATGTAAAATATTAATAATAAAAAAACACAGTTAAACACAGCAAAGACATCTGCACCAAAATATGCTTCCTTTGGGTCCTTTCTATCAATGCTCTCCATGTATGTTTTTTTTTTTTTTTTGCAGGAAGGAAACATCTGCTGATGTGTCTTTTCCCACTAGAAGCTATGTTTACTTTCATGTGAAGTTTCTTCTCTCTAATATGGAAAAGTACTCTCAGCAGGCTCACAACATGCATTAAAGGGAGGGAACAGGACAACTCTTCCCTACAAATTTAAAACCTGCTGCCACGCCGGACAGCTGCTCACCTTCAGAGCCAAACAATCAGCTGCAGCTATTGTGAAACGTACGAGGTAACGACCCCCCTCCCCCACCCCCCACACCCCCCTCCTCCACCTCTCCTCGCAGGCTATTTTCCCTCCCTGATAACGTCAGGCCATTTTCCTTCCTGCTAACAGCAACAACAATGTTTCCATGAAGCGTTGCTCGTAACTAATCACGCATCTGATCTGTAAATACTTTACCTGCCCTCTCTGGGTCGGGAAGGAGGTTTTGGTCACAACAACGTAAAAACGGAAAACACGCGAAGAGTTTCACTCTTCAGGGCCGGCAGTGACAAAATGCAAACACACGGGATTCAAGAACAAAACGTCATTTAGTTTATCATCAAGATGTGTTAAAACACTTCAGTATGAACATGAATGAATAAGTCAGCAATAGCAAACAGTAAAGTATTATCAATGTCAAAGCTATAACATGAACCAAGTTTTAACCACACAGGTCAAGAGAACAAAGCACAAAAAGGAACATTTATGCTGAAAGCTCAAACTACAATACCTTCTTTTTCCATATGCACAATTCAAAATACCAACGATTTAACATAGCTGTGAATTATGGAACTAATGTTTTGATGGATAACCACTCTTCCTTTGAATTGTTTAAACTCTGCATTACATGGAGTCCGCCAACTTCCTCAACCTGTGAACAGGCGTTTTAATTCGATTCCTCATCATTGATTTTGCCTCAGAAACAGCTTGTTTCACCCCACAAGCTTTCTCTAGGATTAAGGTTCAGGGATTGGACTGGCAGCTTCATTACGTTAATCTTGTCGGTCTGGATCCAAGATGCTGCTCGCTCACTGGTGTGACGGTACTTCCTCTTCAGGATAAAGCAAAATGACCTCTTCAAGTATGGTGATATGTTAAAAAGGGAATCCTGATGGGAATTTTTAAAAATGATGGTCCCTTTTGCACCATGTAGTTTTTTTTTTTTTTTTTTACAACAACTGGACTTTGTCAGGGCTCCTTACTGATGATATTGGCTTTATAAAGTTGTTTTCTAATCGTTACAGTATTCACTTAGTAAGAGCTGACTTTCTTTGGTCACCCTAAAGCAGATACTTCTGGTTATTCTTTAAATGAATTATAGTTTTCTGTTTTCTTCCTCATCTTCCTTTTTTTAGTTTCTGTTTGAAGGCATTTTGAACTTTTTTTTTTTAACCGTGAATGGTTTTCTGCATTTCTTAAGCTCTCTCTGAACAACATCACAAGCACCCTGTTGTTCAGAACAATTTTTAAGAACAGGTTTCACTCAGAATACACAACGGCTAATATTTACTGTACAAAACTGGCTGCGTTTATCCTTTAATAAAGGATGCGAGTTAAAACTGTTGGGTCTATTGGTTCTGTCGTAGGGCTTTTGCACGTACTAATAAATTATTTGCCATGTAGAAATATAATCTGTACACAAAACAGTGATTGATCCTGTCATTGTTTTTTGAACACAACATGTGACATGCATATTCATTTTATTGTCCTGCACAATTAAAAAGTAAGAAAAGACGTTTCATTGAAATTCTTCCTTACATCGGAAGCATTTGATCAACTGGTGAGTATCCTTAATCGCTCCAAGGTGCCTCATGAATTTAACACTTAGTCATCAGCTACCAAGTGTCTCTGTGCTGAATATGAAAACGCAGAGTCCTACCATTTTGCCTCTACACCTCCTCCTCGTCTGCAGAGGTACATTTGTGTGTGAGCCGACGCTCGCTGCAACAGAGGAGCTTCCGCACATATTGTCACAGTGACTCCCTGGAGCTTCAGTGTAATTGGTGTGAAAATTTGGTAAGAAATGTGTTGTGTGATATGTCAATACCCAGTAGCATTAATCTTCTTTTGGCCCCTTTAGAGGCTGAATAAACTAAGGTCAGTGTCTTTAATTAGGGTCCTTGTTGGGATGGCATGGACAAACCGCCCACCATTCGATTCTTCAACCTAAACGTGAGAATTAGAAGTCACGGTCCCATCCAGAGAACTCCTCTTCTGCCACCGAGTGGTCCTGAGGAAATTTATCAAAGTTGATGTAGCAGGGACCCTGAAAGAGAAGAAAGATTTTTTTTTTCTTTTAAATTAACAATCACATAAGAGTCTTGGCCAATTTGAAAAAAAAAATTGTTTAACCTACACAATCCCTATGAATGGCAACAAAAAATAAAAAATTGTTTTGAAATCCACAATGTATTGAAACTAAATTAAAGGCTCACAATGACTCACTTTGTAATAACAAAAATCTGAAAATCTAGTTCCAGGTATAGGTTCAGGTTTCAGACAATATCACAACCACCAAATAGTTTAAATACTTGAGACTCCCTTAAAAAACGTTTATAACTTCATATTTTACTGGTTCAAATGCCCAAATGTACCTTAAGATATAGAGAGTGAAAACTGTCTTAGCACTACTGCAGAAGTCAACATCCAATCCGCTCAGCGCAGATATCGTGTCAAGTAGCATTGTGCCTAAACATTCCAGCTTCCCAAGCTGCATTTTCTATTGGCCATTTTAAACATGGTCCATGGAAGAAATCAGCTAATAGGCAGATTTTCCACAGATAAATCTGCAAATAGCTTGTCCTCGAATGCTGAACATTGCTTAATCTCATGCAAAGCTATGCAGAGACTCTGCACTGGTGAAGTCACGCTCCCACGCAGAATGCTTGAAGTGGGCTCTCCAACATGAGAGCCTGGCCTCCTTTCTGATCAGTTCAGCTAACAATTATTTGACCACCGAGGAGGACAGGTGAACTTTGTGGACAGAGAGAAAACAACACTGTTACATCCTTGCAAAACTACTGAACAGAAGCAGATATCAATGCATGTATCTCTGTTTCTCGCGTTGAAGCATTCTCTTTTCAAACATTCACAGTATTGTGTGTGCTTCTGGTTTAATTTTAATACAAGCGTCTGGATGTTCCAATAAATTATAAAGTGTTTATCTCTGCAACTTTCACTATGAGCAGCAGCTCACTGAATCTGAGGGTACTCTGCAACATCTCACTCTTCCCATTCAGAACAACAACTTCAGTGGGAATTTTTTGCTTAATTTCCAGCTGAGAAACGAGAACGAGAATGTCTGAGTACAAAGAGAATCCACCATTACTCTGTCCTGACGCAGAGGCATACAGAGCCATTTTACACCTTTTATCGCAACAGACACGCAATTTACAAAGCCATGGTGCATCATGAGCAACAACCGAGCTTCACAGGATTTGATATTTCACAGCATAAGCCTCAGATCTTCGGAGTCAAGCAAAAAACATTTTTCAGATATATCAGCAAATGTGGCAAGACAAGAAACACTGTGACAGCAGCCTCAGGCTACTCCACACTGCACACACTACCTTTTGCCTCAAATATTTTTATTCTTTTTATTTTTTTTCTGACAAGGTATATCTTAAGCCTTTTTTTATTATTACTAGAGGTCCAACTTTTGTAAGCTGAAACCTTTTATAGTACCAGTTGGTAGATTATATTTCTTTAATATCTTTTCACCCTTCTCGTTACATTTTAGATGTAATAAAAGGGTTTAGTCCAACATTAAAGCTGCTATGTCCAAAACTTCTGGAAACACAGTATAATTAAAAAGGACAGTAAATAATTTCTAGTGAACTAAAGTAAATCTACTATCTTATATATTTTAATTGTCTACAAAACACCTTCTGTTTCATCTAAACACACACAAAAAAAAGCCTTTCGTGATGTTTTCACTTGCCTTGCGGATAAGTCGTATGGTTGGAGCGTCGAGCTGAGCCATACGCAGCTTGTGCCAGTTCATGCTGCTGTACCACCTTAAAAAAAAAAAAAAAAAAGACAAATTAGAGAAATAGTTCATCAGGCTGTCGATTCATTGTGAGAATTAATATAAACTGATGATACCCTGACTCTCATATGGTCACATCATAAAGAAAGAAGCATGCTTGTCTACGTTTGCTCATAAATTATGCAATTATGTAAATTCATATACCCTAATGCAATTTTGTAATACATGCCAATGTTTTAACACATTGTATGGGTTGACTAAATGTGAATGCAGCCACTGCTCTACGAACAGTGCTGTGAACCCAGACCTGGCATGCACAAGCACATTTTGTTTTCCAGCACAAAAGCTCCATAAAGCTCTACTCGGCGTCTAATGCACAGAGTAGGCTGTAGGGGATGACACGTGAACAGATGAAGGATTTTTAGTATCTGCCTCCTGAGGACGACTCGTCGCCATGGTTACCTGTGATGCCGGACATCTTTGATTCCATTCTTGGTGTTTCCTAACCTCTGACCCGGCCGAGGTCTACAAAGAGCGTTCAAAGAGACAGTCAATCAAAAACTGCATGAGCTCATGTAGCGCCAAACAAAACACAACCAAATGCGTCTTTACAGCCATTCTCTTGGTTTTACTCTATTCAGCTCTGTTATGGTGAAATATTAACTTTAAAATTCCCTAATTTTAAGAACCACCTTGCTCTGACATTATTTAGTTGTTGTTGGGGGTTTTTTTCTGCTTACCTGCACAGTTTGCTGATGATTGACTTTGCTGCCTCGCTCAGGTAAGGTGGAAACTTGAGTTCTCCATCCAAAATTTTGGAATAAATCTTCTGAGGCTCCGAGCTTGAAAATGGGGGACTGGAGGTTTAAAAGCAGAACAGAGAGTTGTAGGTAAACCTTTAGTTCAAACACTCAAGTCAACGCATAAGACAACATCAATCCTACGTTTCTGCTGCCATCTGCTGGTAAATATTTTTTCTGAATATGAAGGTGTTAGAAAATGATTTTGCTATGAAAATATACTGTCCATTTTTTAAGTAAATCAGCTTGCAAAAGTACTCATGCCTGTTGTACCTTTCCACGCCTTGTTCAATTAAACTATCTATAGCTGTAAATAATTCCCATTCAGGAGGGTCAAACACATGTAAAAGTACGGACTCCAGTCACATGAGACAAAAACTGACCTTCATGGTTTACAGCAGCCATCTGCAATGGCTCTTAATTTGATAAAAATGATAAAAATCAAACTGATTTTTTTTTTTAACACATGTGTTTTTCTTTTTCATGGAATAATTGCATTGAAGTTCCTACTGACTCTAGGAGCACTTATGTAGCATATTTTTTAATTACTGGTACTCTTTTTTTTTACATTATTTTCCACAAATATCAACATCCCATAGAAGAAATAGTTCCATAATATTTTTGCATAAGTTTTACATCTTTCGTTAATTTTAAAACCTAAAAATAGAAATAAAATGTAAATTAAAATGACAAAACATATCTATTAGTAAAATCACAATGGTTATTTGGATTATAGAGGTTGCAGAATCCTGGTCTATACATGTAATGAGCTTATTCTCATAAATACATGGTAGAGGCAGCATCTTGCTAAGGGAATGATGTTTTTTTTTTTTTTTTTTTTTTTTTGGTGGGAGGGTAAGGGGAACAGCATTACTAGAAGACAATTTGTTATAGATTGCGATCGAGACCAAGGTTCACCTTCCAGCCAAACAATGAAAACGAAACTAAATATACAGTCAGGAGAGCGATGAATAGTTAGATTAAATGCACCACATGTTTTGACTGTTTTGTGCACAATTTTGAAAACCTCGTTTTTATTTTTTTAGTTTTTCAAATGCTCTACCTTTTTTCTTGCTCAGTTTCTTCATCAAAAAAACACAGTGGCTGTAATGTAAAACAATGTGGAAAAAAAGTTGAAGCGGTATGAATACTTTTTTCGATCTGAGAGAAGTAATGAGGCATAATTTGCTCTGAGGCCTGGATCCCTTCAAATGTAATTACCTTCCCACCAAAAGTTCAAAGATCAGGATGCCAAGTGACCAAAAATCAACTGCAAAGTCATGACCCTGGTTCTTGATGATCTCTGGAGCCATGTACTCAGGCGTGCCCACAAAGGAGTAGGTTTTCTCGCCACGCACCAGTTCCTTCGCAAAGCCAAAGTCAACCTGAGAAACAAAATCCAGAGTCAGCAGAATCTCTTCTAAAGCAAACCGTGGAAGAAATTTAGAGAGTTTAATGAGCCCTGAATGCCCAAGGACCCACCAGTTTGATGTAGCCTTTTATGTCCAGCATCAGGTTCTCAGGCTTAAGGTCTCTGTACATGATGCTTTTCTTGTGGAGGTAAGCGTAGGCCTCCACCACACAGGCAGTGCAAAACACAGCAACGTGTTCATCAAATCGCCCTCTGTCATTACAGAGATGAAAAAGATTTTTAAAAAAAAGAACTCCACTTCAGTAACTTGGGTGGCAGTCTTAATATTCTTTCATTTGCATGTCTTAACCTAAGTTGTTGACTGCTCTTTTTTTTTTTTTTGAAAAACCATTGGGTACAAACAATTAAATAAGATGGGTTTCATACTTTTTGAATGTTTTTTTTTTGCATGTCTTTTTTTGATTGATGTCATAAACATACAATTAATCTTAATTAAACCCAATTAAATTGTCAAATATCTTTCTTTCAGTTCTGTCTTATCAGATTTACCAGGTGTGATTTATTCATTCATTCACTGTGCTGCTTTTCTATTTCACTAGGTTTTCGTGTTGCTTACACTTCTTTGAGCTTGGTCCAGATCTCGCCACCACCGCAGAACTCCATCACCATATAGATGTACCTTGTATCTTTAAATGCTGCATAAAGTCTACAAACGGCACAGAGAGAAATCATTTGTGTTTAATTTTGTGGTTGTACAACGTCAAAAAAAAAAAAAAATGCAGACAGTATATTGGATGGCAGTTACTTCACAATGAAGTCACACTGGGTCGCTTTCAGGATCTTCTTCTCAAACAACATGTGCTCCTCCTGTCTCTTGGAAACAATTTGCTTCTTGCTGACTCGCTTCATGGCGTAGTATTTCCCATGATTCACTGTGGTCATCTGAGCTCAACAAAAAGACGACATAATTTTTAACAAAAATGAAGCTACTAGAAGCCACCGTTTCCATCGCAATGCCACTTCTGTAAAAGTTGGTTCATGCACACATCCATAAGACGAATTGGCAACACCTACCAGCTGCACACGACCAAACCCTCCAACTCCAAGTGTGACAGGATCTCCTTGATAGCGTCCCTCCTGGTATAAAACAGGAACCAGATCCTTAAACTTCAGACTGGAGCTCGGACTAAAACAGAAAGAAACGTATGTTCCATTTTAAGTAAGTAATTTGTAGCATTTATGTTTGCTTTGCAGGATGAATTTTGGAGGGCGAAAGTCAAGTCAAAGTGTATTTGTGTAACAGATATAATCAGGAATTACTAAGATGCAATCAAAGACTTAAACCCAATCAAACATTTCAAAAACAACCCACTTTGGAAAACTAGTTTCTGCTCCATGTGTTACACCTGCTGAGGTGGTGGCCCCACTAAAACAGCTGATTGAGAATGTATGGAATGTGGTGTGCTAACAGAGGCTGGACAGCAAAACCCAAAGCTTAGAGCTAATCTGCAATGAAAGTAGCACAGCACTGCTTTCCTCTTCCAACCGTTGTTCCTTAACATAACTAATATAACAAAACTAATTACTTGCAGGTGTGAGTGCTTATGTAGAATGGATACCCTGAAGAAAGAAACTGCAGTGTTCTGAGTCATGCTGGAGTCATTAGCGAACCAGTGGCTAACAGCTTTCTAAAACTGGTGTGAGATAAACTGATGCAGCGGTGATTGCCTGACTTAGACTTGAAGCAATGGTGAAAACAATTAAGGGTAACACCACCATATTATCGAGTACAATAGTTTGTTACCACAGAAACGAAACTCAGACTTATGGAAGGACATTATGGCTGACAAAGAGTCACACTAACTTCTTCCCCTGCTTGTATATCTAGAGATGTGACCACTCACATATAGTTTTAAAAATTAAATCTATATGTGAGTGAAGATATGGACAGAATATTTAAAGAAAGAACAAAAATTAAAATGTATGAAAAAAAAGGTAAAACAAAAAACATTCCTTTTGATTAAAAAAGAACGAATGAGTTACATTATGCCTTGTGTGATGTCATCGCTCTACATTTGGAGTGTGGATTTTGTCTTAAGTAAATATTTGCAAAGAAATCTACAAGCAAAAAATCTAACCATGATGTGTTATTCTAACAGCGATAAGCTTTGTGTGAAATTACCTTGACTGAATTTACAGAAAAGTTTGGCAACCAGTTTTAATTTAATGCAAAAAAAAAAAAAAAAAAAGATTGTTCTGAGTTTCTGAACTTTGGTTTTGACATCATTAAAGTCTCTTAAAAACATTTTAAAGATGTTAACATACTAGATGATAAATATGGGCTTGTACATGTTCTTCCAGCCTGCAGGCACCAAAATCTTTGAGGCTTTAGTTTTCTTTCACTGTAACTTACCCTGGCTTTTCTGGACTTTGCGCCTCTTGCATCACTTTGGAGCTAAAAGTAAAAAATAAATAAATAAATAAATAAATAAATAAATAAATAAATAAATAAATAAATAAATAAATAAATAAAACAAGATGGAAAACGAGCAATAAACTAGCTGGGAAAATATTTTCACAGTGCGCTTTTGGGATCTCAGTAGAAAATAGTCACATACTCGTCAAACAGCTCGAGGTGCTCTACTGGGATTGTCTCTTCAAAAACCCTTCAAAAACAACAGCACAGTCATGTCAACAAGTGGCAAATCACTGTCTAAAAATAAATGATGCCAAGGTAACAGAAACAAAGAGGAAATGCCCATCCGTGATTGACTGACTCACTCCTTGTCAATAGAGAAGCATGTAACAGGGCCATCGGCCGTGCAGGTGGCAGTTCTCAAGATCTCTCTGTGAAAACAGAAACAAACAAGCATTTAAAAGTCTATCCATTATCAGTATAATTGAATACGTTTTCAATAAGTCAAAGAAAAACTCTCCTTTGTTAAAAAAAAAAAAAAAATCTGATTGCTCATTTTAGAAAAGCTATGGCAACAATATTCCTTCCATGTGGTTAAAACAACACAATTATTATTTTTGGTTTATTATTTACATCATGCAACATAATAAAAGCCCTAAAATGCATTTAACATCATAGTTAAATGCATTTTAACTGTGCGTCTAAGTTTTTCTGTTTGTCTTTAAAGTCTCCAAAATGTAAAAAAAAAAAAAAAAAGAAAAAGAAAATCTGCAGATTTTGACAGAAAAATGGTAAATAGGGCAGCATTCAAGGCAGGTACACACATCTTCACATCTCTTTGCAAGGTAAAGTACATTTCCTCAGGCGGTTGCTGCATTTGTACGCTTACCGTATGAGGGCCTGCTCCCCGAAGTGCTCCCCTTTTCCCATCCTGCGAATCTGCTTCTCGTGTCCGTTCACGTTCTTGCTCACCAGGACCTGTGAGGACAACACAACTGAGATCAGTGGAGAAACATTTATGCGTCGGTTTACACACACATTGTAACATGAAATTACCTCTCCTTTGAGGATGATGTAGAAAGTGTTTCCTTCTGTTCCTTCTCGAACTATAACCTCTTTATCCTGAAACTTAACCTGTAAAAAAAATTTAAAAAATTAAAAAAAATTAAAGATTTATGTAGCAATTATTGTATGATCAGATGTTTTGACTAATAATATAAAGTAAATATCAATCATCAGATCACAGTGTGTTTAATAAATGTTCAATAAAGCGCATGTTCGTCATAAGAGGTTAATCACATAAAGTTACGCACCTCCTCCATGGAGTCAATAATTTTGGACAACTGCGCGTCATTCAGATCCTTGAGAGTACGAGACCTGTAGCATGTTATTAAAATAGTAGAATCAGACATAATTCTGTTTGTAAAGTAAAAGAATAAAAAAACAGGACCACCTAAGAACAATTCAACAGATCCCACATCAGCTGGAGGACAATGAAACTCACGTCTTGAGGAAACCCATGAGCTGCTCTCGTTTCTTCTTGGACTTGTTAGTTATAATCGTCCTGTACGTCTGCCGCTCCATGCGCCACAGATGCACATGTGTCTTAGCTGATTAAGGATGTGAACACACAACGAGGTCAAAACTTCTCAAACTGAATAATGGAAACAGTCTTTCCAGGTGTTTTTCCCAATACTTTTTGCTCTTACAGTCCTGCATGGTTAAGGCAATTTCACTGTAAGGTTTGTTGCTATGTGACATTTATTCTAAATTTAAGGACAAACAATGCAACACCTTTCAGTGAGTAGCTGTTAATAAGCTGTTTGCTACAAAGAAATAATTCTGTTCATCAAACCGAATCGAGCTGGTTCTGGTTCTGAGGCTTGGAGTTTGTCCAAGATTAATTCCTCCTCTCAGATTTCAATTAGAGATCAAAAACAAAATTAGGTCATTAAATCAACTTTGTTTTTTTGGTTGCTTCTTTTGATTAATTAATCATTAATGAATTGATTTTAGTTTGATAAGTCATATATTCAGGGCTTGATTCTATTAAGAATAAGCTCACAAAGGCTTCCTGTTATTCTTTAAATAAAGTGCTTAATAATTACGTTTTGCTCTCAATAAATTAAAAATGCTGAGATAAACTCCAAAGATATTTGATTGGAAATTTCAGGAGTTCATCACTGTATATTAATATATATGTGTTAAGATTGTGAGACTGTTTGGATAATAACTTTAATATAAATTAAACATACATAGAGGTGCCAAAACCAAAGGCATGTAAACATGTCCTTCTTCCACATATTTCTTTCAATGTCATTTGATTTTGACCAAAACGTCTGAAAAATTCTACAATCCAAACATGTCTTCCAAAACTGATTCTATTTACTGTCACATTATGGTGGAGTTATTGAAGCCATTTGTCCATCACATTAAAATCTACAAGAAAGATGCCAAACTGATTGATGTTCAGGGCAAACGTAAACTGCTACAATGCGGCACAAAATCACAGAATTAACAGTTGTTATCTGAGATTAGAGACGAATCGTCACATCCTAATGCATCAGTATAGCGAAGAACCTAACCTTTGACTGTCGCTGTCCTTTTGCAGTTGTAGAGGATGGCTAACTCTCCGAAAACGTCTCCTTTCGTCAGAGTCCTCAGGTCCCGACCCGACTGAGTCACGATGAGTTCACCAGCTGAAAAGAGCAAATACCTCTGCCGTTGCTTTCTGGATAGGTTAAGAGTAATGTTCAGCTTTTAATTTCAGGTTTAATGTTGTCGTGGCACACAGAGAGAGGCTCACATCCGGACATGATCCCACCTGCCACTATGTACATGCTGTCTCCCTCCAATCCCTCCTTAATGATTTCTTCGCTAGGTTTGTAGTTCGATGACATTAAGAGGTCCACCATCATGGCTATTTGCTCATCGTCCAGGCGGCTCAGGAAGTCGTTCTTCTGGATGGCTTTAACAATAAGACTTGTCTCACTGCAGAAACAAACAAAAAAAAAGATCTCATCGAGAGATCCGATCACCAAACACAGCATGTGTACTCGGGGGTCTGATAAATGCAAAAGAGGATGGGAATTTTTACCCTTGGTCCAAATCATTTACTTTCCCTTAGCATTACTTTATGCAGAAGTATTTATTATTTTTTTAAAATGAAGAAGGGATAAAAAAGACATGACCCAGATTGACCCCAGGAGTCCTGAAGGGTTAGCGTTGTCAACTGCAGTGAGCAGTGTTATTCCTGACCTGGCAGTCTTCTTAACTATGTTGCCTGAAATTTCCAGCTTCTCCGGTATTGGTTCAGGGGCCATAACGGCGGCTCGACTCTTCCTGAATTCAGGCTCTGCTTCATTAGCAGGCTGGGAGGGAAACTCTGCAGAGAGACAAAAACAAACAAAAGATCAGAGATCACCATCAAAAATCACTTCAACCAACTGAGGAGGTGCATCAGGTGCGTAGGTGATACCCATGTGGGCCTCATACCGAGATCATGGTACTGGCTCTGCAGCTCCTGCAAAAGTTTTTCTTTGTCTTTCAGCCGTTGCTCTGTGAAATGGGAGTAAAGATGCTTGTTTACTGTACAACGTATGGTTGAAGACGTGCTTTTTTACCAAAAACATTGTTTTGCCAGAGAGAGCACATCAATAGAAGAAAGCAGTCAGACAAAAAGACTTTCTATTTCAAGCAACAGAAATAGCAGGAGTCATCCCTTAAAGTCCCATTGGAGAAACTGTTCTAACTTCCTGTAGGAGGTGGCTGTGCTGCAGTGCTAATGCAAACTTCTACACAACTACAAACGTGCAAATGATATCTCAGCTTCACTTTTTTTTTTACATTTTCTTTTATACCAGTGTTAAATGTAAAAGCAGCTCTAAAAATATACATTGCTTTTATGTATATGTATATGTATATGTATATGTATATACATACATATACATATATTATACCACCAAGAGGTGGTATAATGCTTGATGTACTCACCCAGGTCCTTGTTTTGCCTCTGCAGCTCCTTGTTGATCCGACATTGTTTTTCCAGCTGCTGCTTCAGCTCTTCCAGCTGTTTCTCCATAGCTACAGAGAAAAGATAAGCCATAAAAATTAATGTAGCAAATTACCTGAAATAATGACAAAATACACATAAGTTGTCTACTTAGAAGAAAAGGTACAGTGCCATGAGAAAGTAACATTAGGATACCTCATTAAGTAACTAGTTCTTAATTGCTGTTGCCAGTTAATTCTGTCTAATTAATGGGGTTTGGAAAGAGACTGATTTTCTCCTGTTAAGCGCCAAATATAACCTTGTTATGTCCATGAATTTATTTTACTTTTGTGTAACCAAATCATTAGGTGTTGCCGATTTGTGCCCAGGTCCCTCTTGCAAATGAGATCTGGATCTCAAATGGAGTTTTACCCGGTTAAATAAAGGAAAGACAGAAAAAGAAAAAAGTTAAATAAAATATGTATAGAAATTAAGTTACACTTGAGCAGTCTCTCTCTGATTGAAAAAGCCTCCACATATACATCAGTAGTGGCAAGAGCCTGCGATATATTCCACTTTCTGCCTTCTTTTAGCAGATTGCATGCTGCTTTCAGGGTAAACTTGCTTGGACAGCAGCACCTCTGCATTTTGGCAAGTGTTTTGAATTTCTGTCTTGTGGACTATTTTCTTTCTGAAAGTCTTACCCACCTCTTTCAAACTTACTGTAAGGAGCTCAGCAAACTAAATGTCTGAGATTTTAAACTTAAAAATGCTGAGTAATCGATTGAATATACAATATGTCCGATTGTAACTGCAGTCATTTTGGGAGGAGTAATTTATTCTCCACCAGAAATAACCGTTTTTTGTTTTTAATTGTACATTTTTAATGGCTGAAATTTTCAGTGGTGCTAAAACTTAGATTAAACTGCAGACTGCCAAATCGTGTCGTAAAGGTACATAAGGGGGAAATCGCTTGAGCTGTCAATGTCCAGGATATTTTCAACAAATCACCAGCACTGCCTGTGAAACAACATGAGGTCTGCTGAATAATGCAAGCTAATGATGGACAGTCAACAGGGTGCATCCTGTCGGCTTTTACTGGAGATCCTTTGCAGTTCTTATTAGTGATAAACATTGCAAAGTGATTGCATTGTGGGTAACTATGAGTTTATCTTTCCTTTTTATTATTTAACTTTGTGCTGGCACACGCTGTGAAGGGCTGCCAATAAAAGTTATTCTTTATGTTTGAGTGAAACTAGCCATCTAGCTCCTCTGCTTTTTCTTTCCTCCAGCAGAGATCAGCTGTTTACACAAGCTCTGCAGATATGGTTCCTTCCCAGATATTAGAAGGATGATTATGTCACTATTGACGGGAACAATAGGTGATTGGCTACCTGACCAATAAACTGAAGGTGGATCTCTGTAAAGACCGACATGTTTGCTCTCTCTCACGGCGCACTTCACGTGACCCCGAATTTATTGCTGCCTCACCCTGAACATTGGACGGCTCTGAGATTAGACGAGGAGTCGAAGCAAATCGTAAAGTTGTAGGGCAGCAGAGCAACACGCTTTGAGTGGAGGTCACTCGGAAGATGGCGAGAAGTTAGATAACTCATAAAAATCACATGTTTTAAGCTTCAGCTCAGTGACAGAGGAAGCGCAGCTGCATAAACCTGCTGGTGCAGAGCCGACAGACGTGGGCAAATACAAAACTGTCCCTGCTTCCTGCAAATTACAAGGATTTGCCTTTAAGCATTTTATTAACTGGCTCGTACAGCACAAGCACACAAGAGAGCTGTGCACAAACACATTCTGTGAGCTTTCTAGGAACTTAATGCTATAAAGAAGTAGAGCCAAGGGACAGAGTGAGGCGATAACCTCCAGCTCACACAACATTAAATGAAAACCACCAGGCAGGTGTCATCGAGACAGACTCTATAAATATTTGCAGCTTGTGCATTCACAGATTTACTTTTTATTTATTCTTTTTTTTTAAAAAAAGACCATGTGATGGCAATATAAACAATCTTAATATAGGAAGTGGTCTGTGCTGGAAATGATACTTGGAGGTGTCGGGATGGGAAATGCATTCTTCACCTGTGCAGCAGGAAGATGATGCCAGCTATCATTATACTGATCCAGCCATTGCACTGTACACTTCCTGCTGCTTTATTAATAATTCATGGGAATGTGTATCTACAGCTGGATTCTCAGAAGGCATACTGAAATAGTTGGATATAATTAACATCCTTTCTATATTAGGACCGTATTAGATGTTTGGTGTGATAGCAGTAAATAGACACTGGAATAAAAACAATTGCTTCTCAACATCTAAATATTCAGATGTTTCCAGATTGTACACAACTAGAAGAAGTCACGAAAAAAAAAAAAAACTGTAGCATGGTCAAACAGACAGACTTACCTGCAGGAGGTATAGATGAGTACTGAAGCTGAGCACCTGTCCAGCCTAGTCAGGCCGCATGGATCATAGGAGCCAAACGATCAACTTGGCCTGCCCCCAGAATAACCACTTCAGCTGTGGAGAAGTTTCAGCTTCTGAACCTGCTTGATTCCTAGACGGTCTACAGTCTGCTGCCCCTCTGGCATTACCACCTATTCCCTCTTTTGTTTTGTTTTTTTTGTTTTTTTTTGTTTTTCTTCTACCCTCGCACACTTTTCCGAGCTCACATTGCAAAGTCTGTGTTTCTCTCCACTCCGGCTTTCTCTCGTTTGTTCCCCCTTTCCTTCTCTTTCCATATCTGTCAATCTCAGCAGCGATAGTGTTGAATCATTAACCCGTAACTTGAGGCTCCGCCCATCACACCAGGCAGGTACAGTAGGGAAGAGAAGGATGGTCTGGAGAGAAAGTTGAAGATGAGAAGTAAAATACTTTGTTGACGAGTGATTAAACTGAGGTTCAGTCGTTCTAAAAATAAAAGAAATAATAAAAAGAACATATCTAAAATTTAAAAAAAAAGATTTATGTGACATTAATTGAAGAAATATTATTTTGCTAGTGCGTTGCATAAAGAATTCAAACATGAGAACCATAAGGAATGACAAAAGAGGATGAGTAGGTGAATATAAATCAATTTTATATTTTTTTATTATAGAAAAAGCTTTCTTCTACTTATTGTAACCATTGCATGATATCGTTAAAATGAGGATATGAAAATGTGTTGCATAACACTTTACGCAATATATTTGCATAAATTTCTCTAGGTTCATCTAACCTAGGAAAGGGTTAGACAAACGTCTTACTATGTTAGATCGCTTAGGAATTACCAAATTATTTGCATTTGTAAATTGGCAGAATGACAAGGGAGATTTTTTTTTCATTATTATTTAAAAGTTTATATATATATGTTTCATTAGTATTTGGTAGAATTATCTTGGATCATTTTATTTTTTTCCCTTTCACTTCAGACCCGGCTGCTGAAGAAAACCAACAACTTCCTGGATGAGATTGAGCAATAACTAGAGTCTCTGTCTTGTTGGCAATTTAAAGAAGAAAATTGCTCTAGAAAGTCACTAATCCTGGGTAAAGGCAGACAGGTTGTATAGCTGGTGGAAATAAACATATACAACCGAATGTCTTCTGCAAAGACGTAGGATTCATCTCCGAAGAATCAACTAATTCCAATTAACATAAGGATATAAAAAAAAATTTAAAAAAACAATAGATCCAGAACTGAACCTTGTGGAGTCCCACAATGATGTAGAGACAGTGTCAAAGAAGATATTGTCTATCCTTACTGAGACTGTCTTAATGGACAAAATATAATATTATGTTGCTCCCCCATACTTACGGATTGGTGGTCTCAGTCTCAGACCGCTTTTTTTTCTCCAAATCTCACGCCGGCCATTTTGACCAAACGGTTCAATTTCAGTTTTCTAAAACAAAATTTGTCTCTAAAGGTTAATCTGTTTGTCCATGAGTGACTTTGCAAAGTTTCATTTGTTTAGAAGTGGCCTCTCAGTCTATGTCCATACTCATTTCAGTATGTATCACTTAACCTATTAGAAGCTTACAAAGCCAGGACATAACCATCTGAATTTTACCAAACTGTTTAAAGGCCTTCAGTGTATAAACCTTTCAGACTTTAAGGTAAGAAAGAACATGTCCTTCTTTTTCTTCTAGCATTTAACAAACAGAAATAATTTTGTAACAGTGGAATAACTCATGATGTCTTTTAATAGAAAAGACATCATGAGTAATTTGAAAACAACCACTCTTTTCTCATTATTCTCATATTAAGTTGCTTTCCTCCTTACACCCACACAGTAGGAGCTGTGGACGGTATTCGGAGGTGAGGGCAAATCAGTTCAACTCTCAGATTCCAATCTACAGGAGTTTGTTTCTATTTTTTCCACAAAGTAAATGCTGCTTCAGACCTCTTCGTATTCCAGACCACAACTGAATCTAAACGAGGGTTTGGAGTGGTTAGGATTGTGACAGAGGGCGTGGGGCTTTATTGTTCCTGGTTAATTATTGATGTGTTTCTGGTTAATCAGCTACATTAATGACTCCACCGCGCCGAGATAAAAGGCCTGGGATCTAAATCGGTGAAACCGGAGGCGGCTTGCTGTCAGCAACGCCGTGTGTTGTGACATTTTTACATAAAGACGAACCTCATGTTATGCGTTAATTAAAACCATCTGAATTATTTGTTGATGCAGATCTTAGTCGCTTAACTTTTAATGGAGAAAAATGTTTGATGCCATTTAGTGCCTTAAACCTTTTGCACATTTTGACAGAGATAATCCATCTAAAACCTGATCATCATTTCTGTGTTTCTACATTTTCTATATTTATTGATATACTTATTATTATTTTATTCAACTATTTGACTTGCCTTTGAGAGTTGCTTTTTTTTTTTGTGCTCAATGACAATAAAGGGAATTCTGATTCTGAAAGTTGACTGTTATTGGGATTTGAAGAGTAGTGCTTCATTATGAAGTGGACAAAAATAATACATTGCTTTCAAATATCTTTGTTCAAATAAGATGTGTAGATGTGAGCTGTGACTATATGAAAAACTGAAGGGGCATGAATTCTGCTGCAAGGCAACCAAAGATGTAAATCAACCAGATAAAATGTAAACTCTTCAGATGCCATTCTTTATTTGTTTCTACAAGATTCAATACATTAACATAGAACAAATTATTTACATATTTGTGTATTTATATGTGTGTCTTATGAATAACGATTAAAAAGTATGATTGTGTTTATAGCTCTGACAAGTGAAATAAGGGCAACAATGTCACTCAAAAACATAAAAACCCATTTTAAAGATGTGCAAAAAAATAAAATGTCAAGATACCCGTTGTTAAAGGCCAACAATGAACAATTTTAGCTGCAATAATTTATTCATGGCCATAAATGATGCATGAAATCACTTCTCACTAAGAGTCACCTAAAATATAAAATAAATATTTTATATTTTAGGTGAATCCAACTTCATTCCCACCTGGATTTTTATCACGTTAAAGTAGAACCCGCTCATTCTGTTTTAACGTGTTGATACAATCGTGAAACGTGTCTGTGCTGCCACAAGAAATAAATTTGAAACAAGATCTCCCAAAACGCCTTCAGGGACAGTCTAGCAGATTTGCACAGACCAAACTTTTCCTCATTCATCTGTCGCTTTGTCATTGAACAACGTGCAATCGGTAAACAAACAGCAAATCGTAGCGAAACAAAACCTTTTAATACTTCACATTCTACCTGATAGAAGATGTTAATATTTTAAGTGCACAGAAAGATCAAGTGTGTATCTTATACACTTTTCACTCGTTTACATTTTGATGTACTCTAAACTGCAAACAAGCAAACAGTACATAATTTGAGGTATTTAAAATACCTTGATGAGGAAGCAATGCATCAGATTTAAAAATCTTTATATTAATACCAGAAAGTAATGAAAGTAGAGCAGTTCTATCTTAAACATTCTTTTTTTCTATGTAATTTGTTTAAAAAGGCTTTTTTTTCTCTCTCTCTCTTTGTTTTTTTTTTTTTTGCACACATTACTTTGCTCTGTGTCCGGGGTGGATTTCGGTGGAGCGGAAACAGGAAGCAATTAACATTCCAAAAAATCATTTAAAAATATTTCTTTCATTTGTGCAAAAGCTTTTCACATGCTTCAGGACTTCATACCTAAACACTTGAAAAGTGGCTTTCCCTGCAATGAATTTTAAATTAGTTTGTTTTGCTCCCGTCTGAGGTAGATCAGCAGGGCTGCGATGACGTCAAAACATTTGGGTGGACGGTCAAAAGCATGCAAGGAAAAAAAAAAAAAAAAGGAAAAAAAAAAAAACAAAAAAAATAAATTTCAGGAACTTTTTTTTTCTTTTTTCTTTTTTTTTTTTTTCCTCTTTTCAAGATCAAACTTCACTGACTGCTGACATCTCTGCTTGGTTTTTCTCCACCACCGTCACTATGTTGTTGACTCGGCTCATCTTTTGCGATGCCGCAGGCTCTCTCGATGTCCTTCGGGTGTTCAAAGACCGCCTGGACAAACTGACCGAACAGGCGCTCCATGTAGCTCTCCCCGCGGGGAAACAGACCCTGCAAGAAGGCAATGTGTCCGCCGTGAGCCGTCAGTAGCAGGGCAACGTTTGGCAGCGTCTGGACTATGGAGACTGGGAACGCTGCAAAAGCCGCAGACACATTCAGAAAGGTCAGAGACATTTGATATGTTGCGAAGTTAGTAGGCCTGTGAGGACCCGACCTTCCTGTCGTCTACTCACTACTCTGTGGAGAGAAAGGGTCGTCGGCAGCATTGAGACACAGGATGGGCACGGCAGTGTGGGGGAGCTTCTTAGCTGGGCTGGCATCGCGGTAGTAATCGACACACGACTTGTAGCCGAACACATGCGAAGTGAAACGCTCGTCGAACTCCCGGATCGTTCGTGCCTGGAAAAGGAGAACAGGATTAGACGACAAGAGGACGGGAAAACAAAGGCTCAACTCATGCTTTTATTGTCATTCCTCTCTACTTCCTTTGTGTACCTGTAAGCACATCATTTCATAGCAATCTACTTAAATCATGACAAATCTGTTTTTATCTGTTATGGGAGATAAGGCGTCGTAAAGACGTTCAAATCTCGGGTACAATCTGAATCAGCTGCATTGCACTCTAATCCCTTTGCCTTTGGTTCTGGTTCGTTGAACCAGCAGGCGCAAAAAGACAGATAAGAGCCCCTTTTCAAACCAAATTAACTGAGTGACCTCCAGCTCACAAATATAAGACATCAGAGACTTACAAGCAAATATAGAAAATGACTTAAAATCATTTCTTGTCAAAGCTGGTACAGAACCTTTCACACAGCAAGTCGTCCCCATTTGCTCTTCATCTCTTCATCATTCCCAAATTAACTCCTTTCATTTGTTAAAGACATTAAGTATAGGTTAAAAACCTACACTGCCATAATATAGCGTACATTTGCACTAGTCCCATGTGAAAATTACATCAGTCTTTATATGTGAAATACATCTTATGAATGTTGCAGTCCAATTTAAATGCCTTATGAAATAAAAATAAATTTAAAAAACTGAAGTGTATGAAGAGTAACACCACTGTACCGGTTGTAAATGATTAAGATGAACAAGTCGTGATTGCGATTCTCTCCATTGACCACTAGAGGTCCTACTAGAGAACAATGTCATGAGCTGCTTTCCCAGATGTTCATCATAACTTCTAAAGCCACTTAGTCTCATCTGATCAAAACTCTTACCAGACTCCTCTCTTACGGTAAAATGAACACAGAGTCCTTACCTGGTCTTGTTTTTCACAATTGCTTTTTAAAATAAGCTTATTAGAAATTCTGATAATTCTGATCAACTCAAAAAGTAATGTATTTAAAAACATTTCAGTTATATTTGTTCATCAAAGGGTTTTTCTTTATGTGGGATTTGTTTTTCTCCACAAGGCAAATGTGCTAAAATAAAAGTAGAATTGTTCTGCCTTTTAAATTATGATATGATGCTACGATATTAAAAAAGGAACTTATATTTGTTACCAATGGTGTCAAGAAATCAGGTTACAAGAGAGGATGTTCAAAGAGCCGTACCTTCAGGACATAGTCGACATCCACCACTTTCTCCAGAATCTTCCTGTGCCTGCAAGACTCAAGGCAACGTTTAGTTTTCTAATAAAATCTCACTCTACACACTTAACTGTGGTTAACTTGACTGTTACAACAAACTGTGCTACCTGGTGACTTTTTGGCACAGGCCGTTAGTGAGGTGTTTGTTGAAGAGAAGCCAGTTGAGAGGCTCCTCCATCGAGTCGGACGACTTCAGCGCATCCCAGGCGACGGAGATGGTGATGCCTGCCACAATGCCCGACTCTGTGCGCTTGCGGGCCAGGTAGTTCAACAATATCATACTGTAGAGGAGAAGAAGGGCCGGGAAATAATTAGGACTGGGTCAAAGAGATGCGCTGAGCTGGTGGCCAACCACTCACCCTCCAAGAGATACACCAGCACCCAGAACCGGAGCCTGAGGGTACAGGCCTTTCACATGCTGCACAACTTGTTCCAAATCTGAAGTGTTAGCAGCGCAGTAGGTGACTGGGGTCTGAAAGAGGCACAGATTCAAAGGAGAAGTGTTGGATTCACAGCTAAAAGGAGGGCCTTTATTCATCATCATCATCATTACTGGCAACTCCTACACTACAGTTGCTCTAGCAACACCGAGGGGGGTCTTTAAACAACATTACTAAAACCAGTGTGCTTATAACAAAAATCTAAATCCAAAAAATTTTTTTTTTTTTTTTTTTTTATGCTTAACTCACTAAAATTGGTAGGTTTTGACAAAAAAAAAAAAAAAAAAAAAAAACAGAATACACAATTAACATTCACTAAATCATTATTGAAATTATTTTTATTTTCTAACCATGTGACTTCAGATCAGTCGCATTTATGAGCTACAAAAGTGGCAAAATCTGCAGTGCTGATCACTAAAACAGCGTCTCTTTGAGGTTCATATTACATACCAACAACTCTTCCCCTCCTACTCCTCTGTTGTTGAACACCACACATCTGGAAAAAGAAGAATCAATACAAGGAAGTTAAGTCTGTAGGACAGTTGAAATTAAATAAATATTTCCTTAGGATAGATTACTTTATCTATTTAATATTACTGTCTGAACAGAAACTAGTTTCGACAGCTCTCTCTGCAGACTTTTGGATGCTACAGGAGCCCCTTCGCACTTCCCCTGGGAAATTTTCTTTTAATTAAATATCAAATTTTCACATATTGGTAACGCTTAATATTTATTTTTACTTCATGCAAATGAGACAGATTTAAATGCTTAATTTTTCTAAACTGATCAGAGTAACTTGACACTCTTAATTTATCCATGACTTCCTGTGTGGTGCAGAAGCCCATATATATTATGATATTACATGTGTAATATGATATTTCTCACACTTACAAGAGACTACTTTTCAAAATAACATTCCATTAAAATAAGGCAGACGTTTTGATTTTTCCAAAGTCACGAAATGGCTACACACAAGTTAGAACAATGATTAAAAAGAGACGGCTCAGGTTTGAACATGTGGTCAAACGCTACTGGGACTTGATGAAACACACATTTAGCTTTCTTTATTTAGATGTGGTATGAAAACAACCTAAAGCCCGCTGTTAAATATCATGGAGAGTCCATGACGATGCAGGCCCTTTTCTCTTACAAATCCCCTTGAAACCAACTCTTTGAAAGATCTTTCAACTCTTTGAAAGATCAAGACTTTTCAAATAAAAATCTGATGGATTCAAGATTGTCTTCTCACTCTTTTGAGTAAATGGATTTGAATAAATATTGGCTTTTTTCTGAGTAAGCTTATGCTACTTAGCAGCTAATTGAAAGCTTATAGCACATCCTTTTCAGCTGCATCAAGGAGTGTATGGTGTATATATCCCTAATTCTATTTTTTTTAAATAAAGAGCAGAAGCAAAGCTGACCTGTAGCCCCGTCTTGTTGCCTGGCTAACAGCATGAAGCACGTAGGGCTGCTGGCTGTTCCCCGTCAGTCCTGGGAGGATGAGCACAGTAGGTCGCGCACAAGAGTCGGGGTAGGTCTCACTGGTATGATTGTCAACCCAGTCCAAGGAGATCTGACCACCATCTGTTGTACGAATCAACTCACTGAAAAGAAATGAAGGCAAAAATAAATTACCAAAAGCAAAAAAGGAAATCACATAAATGAAAGGCTTCCTCTTACTTGCGATAAGAGACAGGGGGTCTGGATTTAAGGAGCGCACAAACCAGGGTCTGCAACCGTCCTCCCCAGCACCAGGGAGTGGGACAGAAGCGCTCAGCTACCACAGGACAGTGCTTTTTGAGGAACACACTAAACGCTTCGCTACATATCAAGGCAGGAGTCTGAAAAGAAAAAGAGTACAAGTAAACTCTGAAATAAACAGAAAAGGTGTTGACATTAAAATCAAACAAGAACGTCTGCAGCCATCAAGCATTATGCTGCCAAAGCAAATAGGGTCTTAGTATTGATCAAATGTAAGTAGCCGCAAAAACTAATCTGCACTTCTAAATTTCTAAATTTACCAGATTAAAGAATTGCACAGCTGAGTTTTTCATTATTTATGGACAACACCATAAAAACAGCATCCTGCAGATTGTGAACATGTACACTACATGAACTCCGTAAAGGATTATAATAAATACAAAATGAGAAAATATATAAAGTATATTTAGTGATATCATAAATTAATAATAATTATTATTTTGAAGAATGAATAAATAAAATAAATTAAAGCAAGTTTACCGAGGTAAAAAACAAAAAAAAACACTGAATATAGAAAAGTAAAACCTATTTAACACTGCATAATAACAGTGCATTTAAAAGAGAACGAACGAATTGAAAGAAAACAATTATTTTTTAAAAAAGTAGCAATGAATAAACCCACATTCTGGGGGGAAAAAACGAAATGAATAAATAAAAATAGAATAAGTAATAAAGCGCATATACTGCAGTTATGTCAGCTAAGCCAGCGCTGTGACTGACCTCACACTTGCGGCCCCACAGATAGCATAGAGCAGCGGTCACGGAGCAGATGAACACCGTGTACGGCCTGGAAACAGACTCCCAGTATGTTCTCCACAGCTCCACACTGGATAAATACATGCCAGTGACCTATGGCTATCCTCCAGCACAACACCTAAACCCGCAGTGCCGACAGCGCTCGACACAACAAAGACCTGACAAACAGAAAATGATTAAAGTAACCTCGGGGAACCTGCCTTCATCCCCACCAGCTACCGATCAAAGGTCGCTTCCCGATTTTCCTCAACCCCGACAACAAGTCCCATCAGTTGTGACAGCGGCGAAGTCCACCAGCGGCCTTCATTGACCGGTATATTCTCCGGGAAATGCCGCTTCCTGACTGTCAGGCCATTACCGAAGAAAGTGTTTGGGTTTGAACCAACCAGAATCTGCCTCTGATAGCGAGACGTTTAGATCCCGCCTTCTGGCCTTCTTCTATCGGCATGAAACTCAAAATGTGCTTCAGCGCCACCTCCAACGGTGTGGTGCTTTGCTGTAAGTGCAGCTACAGAGGCAGTGATAGATTAATTATCGTAGATAGATCGTTTAACTACTTAAAAACGTTTAAATTAATTTTCTTCTTCTTCTTCTTCTTCTTCTTCTTCTTCTTCTTCTTCTTCTTCTTCTTCTTCTTTCCTTTAAGCCAAGTAAAGTGGCTAAAATTAAACTAATATCATATCAGTATTGACGAAATGTGCCAACATTCACTGAACTTTGACTTCAGTTTCTAAAGACTCTCAAAATCAAAGTGTGATATTTTTATGGCCACGAATGATATAGCTGTTCTCCGTTCCAGCTCAATAAATGGGGCCATGTGTGCACCCTTATTTCTGCTGCTCCACATACATCTGAACTGTTGTGATGTTGAAATCCAACCCAATACCTTTGTCTCGTAAATACTGAATCTTTGGAGTTTGTCTTTTTCTGCCAAAAAACTGCAATTAAAAATTGGTTACCCTTCCAGGGAGTAAAATAAGTTATCCCCCAGCCAACATATCTAGGTGGGCCCCATATGAGTAAAAGGAGGACAGAAAATATGGGCCCCACATGGGTTTGTCTGCGGTTTTCATTGTGGCCCCACATGGGTTTGCCCATGTAGGGCCAACGCCCACATGGGCTCACATGGGCATGTGGGGCCACCATGGAAACAGCAGACAAACCCTTAAGGGACCCATATTTTGTGTCCTCCTTTTTCCCATTTGGGGCCCACCTAGACAGAATGCTCATTGTAGGGAAGGAGGTTGGCAGTCATGGAATTTTATGGAACAACCTTCACCATTCACCTCATTTCTTTTAACATGTTTTTTTTTTCTTGTGTATAAGCAAATAATTCATATGAAAATAAATGAAAGAAGAAAAGGCTCATATTTACTTTGATATTAGATTTATTTAATGTTAAAACAAACCTTATATAAGTGCATGCAAATACTTTTTGTTGCAAACATGTGTTAAATCAACTATAAAAATCAGCTTCTAATTCACATTTCGCTATAGAAACAGAAACAAAGCAGTTCCTAAAATAAATTCAGATTCTCATTAATCAGGAAATGGTACTTCAGGCTCTATCATAAAATAATCATCTCGTCAGTGTTACCATGTTGTCATGAAATCCATTCTTTATGATAATCTGAACATGTACTTGCTGGTCTTTGACCTTACAAAGAAGCTCGAAACATATTTTTTAAATCATCTAGTTGAGGGGCATTCCTGCGACCACTTCAGACTCAATTCCGCATTCATCATTCCCACGTCTTATTTTGAAGAAACCTGTATGCGGAAAGCAACATGCAGACATTATTTCCAATTCTTACTGTATTCGAATGTTGTGAACTTTGCATTTTGTTTTGTAGAATATGAATTTAAAACAAAACGTCACATATTCACTTTTACCTTTGTCTCCCCAGTCATTGTTCCAGGAATTCGCAGCCAGCCAGTAGGGGGTGCCATTCTCCTCCCCCCAGCCTAGGATCTTTATGGCATGACCTCCCAGCATTTCTCCAGTCACATGCTGATACACGCCTGTTACAGCAAGAAAGAGCTCATTAACTTTATTCTGTTCAGGCAGAAAATTATAATTCAGCAGAAGTCCCCGATGCCTAAGGAAGAGCATGAATACTCTTCTAAGTGTCAGTTTGAAGAAGACAGGAATATGTGGAAACTCAGTTGTGACTCAGTGGTTTATATGAATGCAACAAGCAGGATCAGACTGAACAGGACTTCAGCAGATAACTGCCCTGCTTATCTGTCTCTGTATCCAAAGCCTGAGAAAAGAAATGAGGTGAATCCACCTTGCTATGTTGTTGAAACACTTAGGAAAGAAGAAGACAAATACTTTAAAAAAAGATGTGTGTGTGTGCGTGTGTGTGTGTGTGTGGGTGTGTGTGTGTGTGTGTGTGTGTGTGTGTGTGTGTGTGTGTGTGTACACAGCTGGGATAGTGAATGCCTCACCAGATTTGTACTGCAGAAAATCCTCATAGACACTAAAAGCTGCCTCCACAGGACCGTTCTTATACAGCTCTGTCATGATCTGCTGCTGCTCCGAAGGGATGCTGTACGAGCGCTGGCCTAAAGGGGTGCAGACAAAGCTTAGAGTCAGACACGAGATAAACCAAAGCCAGCAAAGCTGTTTTGAAAATGCCTCTACCAAAGTGTTTGTCCTTCGGGTAAGACGGAGTATACCCATCCCTGCATTGCTGCACACATTTAGGAGTTTCTGTTTCGCCTTGGCACGGAGGACGGGTTCCATTTACGTGATGTTCACAGGCAGCAATGGTGTAGGGTCTGCAACCTGTAACACACACACACACACACACACAGCTGCTAAGTTTATTGGCCCTCAAAAGATGCAGTTTGAGTGTGGGATGAACTTACCGACTTTGGAGTCATACAGGCCTCCTGTCACAAGACCAGTCTTTGTCCAGAACTCCCAAGCAGCTGAGGAGTAACCACCGAAACACCTGCAAGCAAACAAACACATGGTATGTGTTGCTTTAAAAAATCTTTCAAAAGGGCAAGAGAATGAAAGAATATGAAGGAGACACACAAAATGGCTTGAATGTACTGTCTTTTCTCCTTGATCAGCTACCAGACTGTTCACAATGCAACTGAGCAGTGTTTCCATTTGAAGAATTGAACCGCTGTTGTCACTTCTCAAGCATAGTTATCTTCTGGATATTTAAGAATCTAGAAGTGCCCTTTTATGTGGAGACATTTCTTTTGCTCACCCCATTCCACAATCATCACAGCAGGTGAGCAGATCTTCAGCAGAAATCTCCAAAGTGACCTTACCACCACTTTGGATACACAGACGGTCAGATATTGCTTCCACCGCCCCAAAAGCCTGTAGGGGAAAAAAAGATAAATAACAAAATGTTTTGAAATAAAATGCTGGTTTTTATTTTATTTGTAGGGCTGTTTTTTTGTGTGTGTGTTTTTTTTACCCAGCAGGATCCACAGGAGCCCTGGTCTCTGATCTGATTGAGGGTTGGACAGTTGGGCCACTGCTGGCGTGGATCAAAGCTGTCTGGAAGGTTTATGCCTTCAATGTTATGAACCCTAAACAAAAGAGGAGACAGTCTGTAACACACTGCAGATGACAAACCTGCCTATTGCCACCTGCTTGGTCATGTGAGAGTTTGAACACTCACATCTCACACCCTGAAACGTGAAACACTGTTAA